TAATGTCATGTATCCGTCCATACGCAGCCGTGCAGGAAGGTGAGGGCAGGTTCACATTCTAGTATTCTGTATTACTTTCATATTAAACACCAAAGTAGATTAAAAGTTAATTAAAACTTCAAACCTGTAATTCTGTATCCCTGTAAGAATTCACCAAGCACAGTGATTCTTTGCAAAACTTATGAACACGTTAGGTTCTGAAAGATAGTTTATATATAATTCTAAGACTTTGCAAGGCATTTAAAATAGACGGTGAAAGAGAACGTAAAAGTAGTTTGAAAGAAAAAATAGGAATTACTCAGTCAATTAAAAAAAACCCAAAACCAATAACGAAAAAAGCTTTTCCTGATGTAAAAAACCACTACTGTACATCAAAGCCTGCAACATTTCTAACTAGATCTGCCATTAAAAGAAAACAAGTTGGTCATTTCATATAAATGAGGGGGCTTTCTGTTGCATTTTTTATTGCTCTGAAATATTTTCAGATTCTCCATTATCCCAGCTCCACTAATCCTGATGACAGTCCTCTGTGGTGCACTTGGGAGCCACGCGCTCAGAGCAGCCGCCTGTGTAAAGACCCTGGCCCTGCCTTCTCTCCTCTCCCCCTGCTCCCCTCCGCACCTTCCCGCTCCACCGTGCGCAGCCCGGAGGTGGCCATCGCTGCCCGCTCTGCAGCCAGGACTCCTTACCTGCCCTCCTGCAAATACGGTTTTCAGACACGGCAGAAAGCACACATGGCTCTTTCCTCTTGCTTCGTTGTTAGAGAGTAGCTGAGGGAATATACTCAGCCCTTTGCATATAAAGGCCCTTTGTATAAGTATTTATGTCATCGCAAAGTGGGTTGAAGCTCTGCCTTGCTTTGGCAGATGTTTATACGCAAGTGCATGGCTGTGAGGGGCTATGCCCGGCGGCAGGTACTTGAGAATTGGTCCTGTGCCCTCTCAAAAGGTACCACACTGGTGTGGGTGACAGTCCTCCTGTTGGTGAAGAAAGTCTGAAGAGGCTGTGACACATGGTTGCTGCTTAAGCTACAAGTAGGAATAAAATACTCAGCCTATTTCTTTCTTGAATAATTTTTTGTACTTTTCTTTTGTCCTTTAAGAGGGAAAAGCCTTCTTAAAAAGTTTAAACTGTGTCCTGGTGTGTCATTGTAAAGAACTGAAAAGATGCAGACTTATTTTTAGGAGGCTAGACAGCTATCTCTAGCTCTTTCCTATTTTCTAGCTCTTACTCGAGCACTTCTTTTAAAAGCCTTTCTCTTGTAAAAGACAGTAGGTTTTAAATTTAAGCTCTTCTGCTGTGCATAAAGAGTTATTGTTCCTGGTAACTCTAAGACTCTCATGAGTTCCTGCATTTCTCAGCGAGTCCTCACTAAGTAGTGCTAATTTGATGGGCTGATGTTATCCTCATCTGGACCAATCCATACTGTTCTTTTTTTTTTTTTTTTTTTTCCATTTTTGCCCTGTTGTTATGCTTAGTGAAGTGAGAACCAACTTCCCTGCACCTCATCAGTAGATTTTTGGGGAAGCTTCAGCAGGGATTAAATGGTTTCTAGGTCACTTACTATACATCTACCAGTGAAGGTTCGTTGTCACCAGCCATCCAGAGGAGTAAAGGCATCAAAATATATCAGAGAGATAGCTTTTGTATATGCGTTCATGTCTTGTGAGGGTAATTTCTTGATCCAGGCTAAAGCTTAATATTGCTAGGGCTGACATTACTTGAGCTCTTGCGACATCCAGGGTGGTGAGATTGTCACTCGCTGAATCTTCCAAACCTCCTTAGGAAGATGCAACCACAAGCTCTTGCTTCTTTGTAATTGGTATATGGCCGTTGTCTGATGCCGGCTGTGGTTGTGGAGTCTACTTACGGCTTTGCACTTGCCTCCCGTCGGCCTGGAGCTTGCCATTTTCTGTCCTGTAGTTTTCGACAGGCTCAGCCTGGTTAGTGCGTCTGTGCTGGAAGCAGATGGCTGGCAGTGACGAAATCATGTTTGGTGTCTGTTCCCACTGTGGCAGAGGAGACCAGCACAGGAGCCTGGCTCCCTTGACTCAGATCTCCCACTAATTCAGAATACAATAATTCCTCATTGTATCTCATAAGTGAACCTAGTACTGGGATGTTACTGTTATGGTTCAGTTTTGCTTGCAGTATGGTTAGCGAGTCAAGCTTTGTAAACCTTTATTTTGAGAGATGAAGACCTGGGAGGGAAGGACTCGTGCCATTGCAGAGCACTGCTTGTACGTGCGCTCACTTTGATCTTCAGAAAGGCATTTTCCCCTCTAGCAGTTACAAAGCAGTCTAGCTGTGGAGGTGTTGATCAGGGAACATAGCGGGCAGGCGCTTCTCCGGAATGGCTCCTGAGCTTGTGTGTTTGTTTTTTGGAGCCAAAAAAGTCTAGGGGAACTTTATGTGGAGAAGCCCCAAGGTGGGGAAATACGTTTTTAGCTCTGGGGTTATGATTTGCGCTAATTATTGGGTGTGGTGGGGATGGTGGGGTTCCCGGATTAGTATGTTTGCATAGCTGTGTTTTTTGAATGTGTCAAGGGGAACCAGGGTGAAGATTAAAAAGTTCTTTTTTTAGGGAGTGTGGGTATAATTGAAAGCAAATAAACTCTTAATAGTCATCTTCAGCTGCAGTGAGCTGCTTTCTAAATATACTGATTATAATTGCAGAAAATATTCATAGAAGCTGGTTTTGCTCACAAGAAGCATTCATCCCTCTGCATAGGAAGAGAGAAAAGCGTGCTGTCTTCTGCGGTGGTAGGTTGCTGTGAGAAATACAGGGGAGGCTGAACTTTGTCCCCTGTGCTGTGATTTCCCGTCCACAAGTTCAAATGGTGTGAAACGTGTGTTTGGAGCGAGCGCAGCCAGAGCTTGTCCACGACCGCCCCCCACCCCGGCGTCACGCTGCCTTCGAGCACAAGGTGACTTGCTCCACTCCCCCCGCATCGTAACGAGCAGAAAGAAAATCGCTCCGCCAGAGAAAGGCATCACAGCGGATTTTCAGCGGGGACGGTCTTTGTGCAGCCTTGCAGATGCCCCAGTTGGTTATCGCAGCGCGGGCGATGTTTAGCCTGCCGTAGCTTTCTGGACGGCTGGGATGCTGAGAAAAGTCCCTCGGGGCTATTTCAATGGGATTTATTGACTGTGCTGTTGTACTGCTGACTGATTCCTGCACAGACTGTGACACTGTTTTGTAGACATTGTACCCTGAGATAATTTTATTCCTTCATCCATTATGTGACCTGTGTATTGGATCGCACACATACAATGGACCCAGTGGTAGCAGCTCGAGCCTTGACGAATTGAATGTCTATCTTCTGAGGTTCATGACAGCAGCTTGCTCGCTGCCCACTCTGTTAAAAGGATTACCTAACCATTGCACAATCACTATGGAGACCAGATGGTCTTTTTGCCTGTTTCTTTAGGCAAATTGGGTTCAGCGTTCCCTTATGAATAGATATAAGCTCTTCAAAGCCCCCTTGTTGAATGTAGTTTCTGCTCCCAAATGAAGAATTCTGAATGTAAACTCACTGCTTGTTTGCGGTCTGCACCTCCTGGATGGAGGAAAGCAGTTTTGCTGGGTGTTCACAATTTGTTCAGCAGCCTGGAGCTTAGGAAGTTTGTGTGTTGTCTTCTGTTTACCTTGAATCAAAAGTCTTTTGTTCAATCTGTGTTGCATATCACATTTTAAAAACTGTTCACATAAATGTGTACACGTAGCAGCACAGGCAAATCAAACCTACAAGGCAAGGGTGTCCTGAATAGTAACTTTCTAAATTGTTAGAGCAAATAAGCAAGTTAAACAGATTTTTCTTCTTTTTTTTTTTTTTTTTTTTTGGGGTAAAATAACATTTCTGCAGCTTATCTGTTTTATCAAATATCTTCGTGATAACGGCCATGATTTTGTGTTTATAGGTCTGTAGCATCTCTAGCACGATCCAAAAGGATATATCTCTTCTAAGTCATTTATTTGCTAACTTTTTTCTAGGCTTGCTATTGAGACTGTTTTTAGCTCGAGTTTTCAACTTTTCCCTTTGTGTTTGGTAAGGTTAGCAAAATACCTAGGATACCAGTGAATTCCTTTAAATACCTTCAAGGTTCTTATGCAGTAAAAGGAGTCAAAAAGAGCAAAACTCTGCATGTTCAAATCACGTAGTTATTCAATTGAAAATTACGAACAGTAGTCACTGAATTTAAGCAGAAAAGAGTATTTCTGGGGCTAGTGTATGAAGAATGGTTCGTAGTTAAAATGTTTGTTCCAAAGTTCACCCTAAGATCTTGTACAGCTTCTTGTACAGAGTGTTTCCATCCCTGAACTGCTGGTGTGTTTTGTGAGAGTCAGCTTCTGCCCTTTTGATTTGAGTTGCAGCCTTTGTGTGCCAAGTGAAGACCCGTGTGTTCAGATGGTCAGGGAGAAATTGGGTCTTGTTACCTGTGGGCATGTGCAGTGCTTGGCACTCCCTTTTTCTTTTTTTACTGGCAAGTTAACTTAAAATCAGAACAAACCTAAAGAGAGAGGTTGCTGGGTGGTTGGTGGAGTGAATTGTGTGGTGGCCTTGCACTGCAAGGGTTATAGTTGGAATCCAGGCATGGGGAAGGATAAACGGATGCTGCAGGACATTGCTCTGGTCGGTTTGGTCCAAATTATAATGGATCACTGCACAATCCTGCTATCTGTAATTGGTCTTCCAAAAAGCAAACTGGAGGGGGCTCAAAGTTTGCCCCAACTTGTCAAGGAGAGGGGAGAAGGGCAGAATTAAAAAATAAAACATTTGCCCAAACAGTGACTTCATTGTGTTAAGTTAATGACAGTTGTGAAAGTATGTTTATACAAATGTATGTCTGAAGCCCAGGAATCCCTTTAGCTAGATCTCTCCTCCATTTGTAACTTCGGTCTGATTGTTTTTGGTATTCATTTTGCCTACAGCTGGAGTAAAGTGTAAGTTCTATGTGACTGAGAGCCCTGTTTTGTCATTTTGGTGTTTTCTAGGAAGGCTGTGTGCAACTGGATCCTGGTTTTGGTGTAGCGGCTGGCCACGAAGACAATGCAGAGCATGCTAACTGCTAACCGTGCCCGTGTTTAAGAGTGATCCTACAGGTGTGCTCATTGTTTTTTACGATGTTTTTCGTCTAGAAGTGCTGAAGGCTAGAAGTAGGGGTGATAAAATACATACAAATTCTAGAAAATAAGATTCTGCTTTCACAATGGCTAATTTTGACAAAATTTTAATGAGGCTGCCGTGGATTCTCTGAAGAGTGATAGTCTGAGATCCGACGTGCAAAGAAGCGTAGTGCTGGTGGAAGAAGTGCTTTGATGTTGTTTCTGCAAGAAACAGAAAGAACAGATCGATCTTTTTTACTTTTGGGTACACTTTATGTAGGTCCAAAATCTTCAGTCATCTCACTGGGGCAATTTGACTGCTCCAGTGTGTGCTGTTCGCTGTGAATTCAGTAAAAAGCTGACGAGCGTTTTACTAAGTGAACTATCAAACTGCACTATGCTAAGTGAACATAATGCAGTTTTGTGCTGTAATGGAAGATGAGGCTATTCACTAACCAAGTTATTTGTTCTTTTGGTGTGGGTTTTTTTTTTTCTTTCTCCTGGATTGACTCCTTTTAAACACAAAGTTAGGGTTTGCTGAACAGTTTATTGAGGCAAAACTTGGTTGCACAGAAACCAGTCAGGCTGAAACTGCAGTGGGCTTGTCTCCTGGCAGAAAGGAGTTCTCTGAAAGTACAGTTCACTTTACATCTAAGTTATGATTATCTTGCTGTCTCCCTTTCATTATGCCATTGTTCTTGGGAGCCAGAGATTTTGTAGGTTATAAGAAAAGGATGTTGCCAGTGGTGTGGGTGGAGAAAGGTGTTGACATGATTTCAATGGAGTTAGATTCCAGCTTTATGACAGAGGGGTAATGAACCATACAGAGAATAGGCTTTCCTAGCCTTTCCCTAAAATAAGTTCAGTTATGAATTTAATATTGTAAATGGCTATTTAATGGGTTTTTTGGGAAACAATTGTTTCATATCATTTTTTAAAAAGTAACTTCCCTGTGTAGAGGGTAAAAATGGTCTGTTACTTTTTGCTCTGTCTTCTAGCCATTGTTTCTAATGAAGCTCTTCTTAATTTAGTGGAAAATGGGGAATTCAGAAAGCCAATACAGTCTTCAGGGATCAAAAAATCATACTGCTTCTACAGCTGGTGCTAAGCAGAAGCCTTGCTCTCTGAAAATTCGCAGCATTCACGCTAAAGATGAGAAGTCTTGCTCCATGCATGGATGGGGACATACCAATAGCGGCTCAAACTACAAATCGAGGTCCCTCGCCAGAAGCTGCCTTTCACACTTCAAGAGTAGTCAGCCTTATTCATCTAGACTTGGTGACACTGTGGTGAAGGTGTCTAAAAGCAATGCCCATGCCAAACACAGGACAAATGCCTCAGGGGACTGCTGCCAAGGAAATAACACGATGTTTTTGCCCGAGAACGGTTTCCGCTATATTGGCCTTCAAGCTGGGAGTAATCACTCTGCCTCCCGAGAATGCAATGGACACATTTTAAATTGCTATGGAAAGAATGAGAGTCTTTCATCAACCTCCCCATCAGAGGACAGGAGGAGTCCGAAAGTTCTCATTAAAACACTGGGGAAGCTGGACGGTTGCTTGAGGGTTGAATTCCACAACAGCTGCAACAACAAGGTGCTGACTGAGGAGTCCAGTGGACCAGTCCAGTTGCTGAGGTATTCGCCTGCCTTGGAATCTAAGCCAAATAACCTGCTCGATGTCAGGAGGAACTCCAGCGCAGACTGTTCTTCAAGCCATCGTCTGTCACCTACTGATTCAAGGCTTCGATCTAGTAAAGGAAGCTCCCTCAGCTCTGAGTCTTCATGGTATGACTCTCTCTGGGGAAACGCTGGGGATATCAATGAGTTGGACGGTCCATATTTGACCAGGAGCACTCCAGATACAAGCATTCATGCCAGTTTCCCAGTGAGCGACACCAAGAAGTCCTTCAACCAAAGTTCATCTCTTTCCTCACTCCGAGATCTCTATAAGGATACAAACTTGGAAAGCACCCCTCCACCTGGGATCAGGCTGTCTGATGAGTATATTGACACTCACGGTAGCCTGAGCAACCGTGTCTCATTTGCCTCAGACATTGACGTTCCCTCCAGGGTAGAGCAGGGAAGTCCTGCACATTACTCCTCCTACACACTCCCGTGCAGAAAGTCCAAGCCCCTCAGTGAGGATGCATCCAAGAAGGATACATTAAAAAACCGAATGCGACGCATCAGTGACTGGACGGGAAGTCTCTCAAGGAAGAAAAGGAAGCTGCAGGTATGTACAAACCCCAGCTTAAGTGCCTGAAAGTTGGTTTGTAAATTCGTCTTAGAAATGTAGTGATGGCATCATGTTTGTCTTTCTCGCAGGATAATTACTTGTTAATCTCATTTGGTAATTTGTGGAATTCTGAGAAGTATTGCATCCCCAGAGCTGTCTGAAATGTCAACAGCAAAAAAAGATACATGTTTGTGTGTGCAAGTTTTCCCTTCCTATTTTGTCGCCTGGTTAGCTGACTCTAAGTCTCTGCAGCCTAATCTCTCAGTGAATTAGCTGTTGAAATCATTATATTACCTATAAAGTGACTTGGAGTTTTTAAGCCTTCTCTTTATTTCAACTATGAAAATATAAATATCATATATATGCTGTGAATCAGCATGCATTATCTAAAGAGTGTGAGAGGAGCAGTACAAGTGTTACGAATATCTTTGCAGGTATTCCCTATTTGTATTACTGGCTTTTTCGCTCACTTTGATTTCGCTGTCGGTCGGTCTCTAGCAGGGCGATCAGCTGTAGAGTATCGACCAGAGCTTCTAGTCGTGCCTCCACCTCCTCTGAAGGCATTGCACAGAGCGCCCTCCTCCTTCCTGCAAGGCAGCTTAGTTCACCAGATGGAAAAGCTTGAATTGCCATCTGGCTTGCCGGGAGATGGTGGTGTGAAGAAGGAGATGGGAGGAGGGCAAGAGGGAGGGAAAGGATGTTTCTTTAGAAGAATTTAAGGCTAATCCCATTAACAGGAATTTAGGATGCCTGTGGTCAGGAAAGAAATTCTCATCTCTAGCTGTAGGCCCCAGAATCAGCTCTTTAAAGTCCAGACTGTGCCTGGACTTCTGCGTGTGAGTTCGCAAGCTGAGATGGAGGGCAGAGACTGTTTTTGGTTTTGGTTTGGATTTTTCTTATTTTTTTTTTTTAACCTTCCCTAGTGTTTCTCATACAGGAACAGTCACTGTGCTTCTCTAAATTAAGAATCTGCTCCCTTTCAGCAACATTAGGGTGCTGGCCACTTCAGAAGTGAGCAGAGAGTGAAGGGAAACCCATAACACATGCTTTCTGTGAGATGTAAGGCAGACGCTGTCTCCTGTGTTGGAAATTCAGACAGATATCGTGCTTAACAGGCATCTGTCATTGCCATGTAAAACTCTGATGGACCCTTAAGCTCAGAAGTTAGGTCAGCGTAAGGTTTGCCATCATAAATCCTAGTTAAGGGCTACAGAACTGGGAAAATGAAAATGAAAGGTGTTTGTTTGGGTCAATTCTTTTGTGAGTTGGTGCTAATGTAGTTTATCAGATGTTGTCTTTTCACCTTCTTACTCAGCTGTGAAAGAGAAGGCAGAAAAAACAGAATCAGCGAAGAGCCTCAGCGCCTTGTACCAGGGTTCTTCACTGGTTTCAACATCCGTAGCTGTTCTGGATTTTACAGCCAGGCTTTACGTATGATCTCTGCATCCCAGACTTTTGCCATGTATTACTGAGTTATGACATTCTCAGAATGGTATTTGTGGTGCACGATTCATAGCTGTTTTGAATTCACTGTGCAGTGAACTGACTTCAGACACAGCAAGGAAATTTGGCTGTCAAGATTGCATCAAGCTTGAATCTGATTCTGGTAGAAGGAAGTTGTCCCTAGCTCCAAAAGTGGAGATTTCTTAGAAGGCACAGGAAACAGTCATTGATTTTTATCAGACAAATATCCAGTGACTTGAAGGAGAAGAAGGGTAGCGAATGCTTTATGATTTTTGCCTTCCTTGTGAGGCTTGGTCAGCTCCCCTCCACCCTGCACACTTTGAATAACCTGCTGTCTCTCCTAGGGATTGCCGTGTTGTAGTTTGGTAACAATTATACTCTCACCGGGTCCTTTGGCTTAAAAATGCAGAAGTACCGTGCATGGTTATGAGCTGCCAGGCGGTTGGTCCCTGTGTGCAGGACTGCTCACCACTGCGATTGTAGCCTCCACGCTTTGCTCTGAGCAAAGTGTCCCTTCCTCAGAATGTTACTAATAACTCGTTGTGAGTCACCTGGGCTGAGCGTAGGTGAAAACTGGACCACTTCCCTCTAAGTAGGCCTCAGCGCCGGTGCTGGCTGGGTGAATGGGTCCCTCTGGCTGCCCCAGTGGAAGCAAGCCAGCCAAGCCTCCTGCTTCACAGGGGTGCAGGACCAGGAGGCATAGACTTGGGATACTGAGGCCGGTCCTCTGCCACTAGAAAGGCAGTGGAGTTTAATCCCCTTTGTGAACAAATTGCAGCTTAAAATCAGGTGGGGTTTTCCCAAGCTTGAAGGCTGTTTCCAAACCCTCTTCCTCTGATGCTTGCTGATGTGCAGAGTAAATGTAGTCCTGGCCAGTTTGTTCTGATGCCAGTATTGTCCATTTCATTAGTTATCCTTCCATATTATTTAATCTGTTATGATTTATTTAAAGGGAGAAATGATATCTTGGCCCACTTTTGCGGGGCTATGCAGACTCTCTTTGGTCTTCTGTCCTAAGGTAGGAAGTCTGTTTCCTTTGCATTCTGACACCCTTCCTCTGCACCTGTTTTAAATCATCCATAAACAGGTTTGGATGTGGGATATTCCAGAGGAGCCCTCGGCTGTGCCCTGTCTGGTGACATGGACGTTTCCTTATGTCTGACTTGATCTGATACTTGATCTGGTGTATGCTGGAATTGAGTTTGCCTTTCTGATGGTCTCACATCAAGACTTGCAGTCGTTCTGTGCCATGATCCAGCGTTCATTGCACGAGGGTGTCCTAATGCTCATGGTACATTCTTGTTCAGTTTAATCCTTGCTGAAATGGCATTGGGGAGATGCTGTATCACCATACACTGTGTGTGAGCGGCAAGGTATATGCGATGCGTGTGAGACCTGTGGACAGAATTTAGGCAGAGTTGTGGCACAGTCAGCCACTGCGAAATGTGGTGGTGTAAACTCAGTGTGCAACTGTATAACGTGGAGAGAATGAGCAAATGCTGTGTAAAATGAAAATCCAGCCGCCAGAAACAGGTGGTGCAGATAGGTTCTTCAACAAAGTAAACAGCCTCTTCATGGGAATAATTTCTGAAATTTCCTGACTTTGTAAGCCAGAGTCCTGAAGTGTGGGGTAAAGGGGATTTAAAAGAAAAGTACATCGAGACAACCTCTTTATTGGCTTGAAAACTGGTATTAGATTCCACTTTCATCTTGGGCCCTAATGAATTTAGCATGCTGCATTGTTTCCTGCGTTGTTCTTTACAGCTAATTATTACATGCGTCACTTTGTCTAATTGGTATCTTAGTAAGCCTCTTTATCTTTTGCATTATCTATAGCTATCCCAGGGTGTATCTCAGACAGGGAGAGATCTGCTTGAATGCAGCTGAGTGGAAACAGTGGTAGTTTTCTGTCCTCACTAGATGCGACAGAGACAGAATGAGCTTCTGGAAGGGAAACCACAGCCAGCAGCAATCTGGGTCAGAACTTTTCAGTGGTGACCAGATACAGTGACGGCCTCCCGGAGGACCAGCAGAGACTGTGTGACTCTGCCAGTTCTTCTCTGTAAAAAAAATAAAATACAGGTAATGTCGTCATGGTGAAGTGTATACATTAATTTTGGATCCTGTGTCCATTTACTCTACTCTGGTACCTCCTCATTTCTGTACTTTCTGTGTGCTTGGAGAAAACACAGGATGTGGTTAGTGGCTGTAAATGAACAGGTTGTATCCCACCCTTTTCGTTAATGCTTGTTGTTCCAGTAGTGGCCCTTCGCAGCAGACACCTTCTTATGTATGCGCCTCTTTTTGTTTTTCCCATTAGTGCTTTGGGACTGAAAGAAATACGTATTTGTAATAAACTGAATATTAATGTTTTCTAGAGGACACTGGCAGCTCCTGGAGAATAGTCAAACAGTTGAAGGACAAGATTTTGGCACGTGCATATAGTGGCAGTAGTTAAAAAGAGGCTGAAGAAAGCTTCCAGTTTCCCACTGAACTGCAGATCGCTGGCACAATTGTACGATCCATGTTGTATGGTCGCTTTGTGGGCATTAACACATTACATGCATGATTCCCCCCCCCCCCTTTCCCTCTTCTTTCACACCAAA